CGCCCGACAGTTGGAAGTGAAGACCTGCTTCGTAGAGGAATTTTTGCGTTGGAAAAAAAAAAAAACGAAAGGTCATTTGAGACCACCTCCGGAGGCGGTCTCAAAAAGGGTTCGCCCGCGGCCCCGCAGGGCGCTGACAGAAGGGTCACGGTTTGAGGCATTTGGGTAACGAGCCACTCCAGTGTGACCCGAAAAACGACTCAAATTTTGGGATTTGGGGTCTTTTGGTCCTCGTGTGAGTATGCCCTGAGATCCGATACATCCACAGTTTGCCGTTATTGCTGTGTGCATCTCAACAGTCGGTGTGGGAGTATCTTCGCAGAAAAAGACAAAACCTATGGTCTATGCTGGGTGTATCATTCCATTATTATTTTTTTATTTGCATAGGAGGCCGGGGACCTCACAATTCAACCCGGAGTTATCCCGGCAGCATCAGCCGGTTTAGCTTCTGTGTTCCTCAACTTGATCAATACCTACAACAACCACCCATTATCTAACCTGTATGTGTAATCAATTATCTGACCAATTATCTAAGTCTACAGACCTAACAAGCTGGTCCCGAGTAGTGCCCTATTTTTTTTTTATTTTTTTTATTTTTTTTTATTTTTTTTTTGTCATATTTCAAACCCAGATAAACGGGGCCGGGGTCCCCACAATTCAACCCGGATCGAACCTCTGGCAGCATTAGCCAGTTTCGCTTTCTACGGCACCAACAGGAACCGAAAGCCATCAACTTGATGACAACATCAATCAAAATCATCCAACTCATCATTACAAAGAATTCCTACTTTTAAACCGCCATATTGACATAAACTCCAAGAAATTATTTTTCCCTGTAACGATCTTCTCCTGAAACTTCTCAATTTACTAAACTCCTTGTAAGCATCTAAGCTACCCATACCTTCCTACCTAACCTACTACTACTACTGCTACTACTACTAAACTAACTACCTAACTAACTACTAACTACTACACAGACCTAACCTGGTCTGGGCCCGGCCTATTCTCGGCCGGAGGAACAAGTTCCCTTTTGTTGCCGTGCCACTTCCCTACCCACCACCCATTGCAATCTACTGTGATTGCCCACTGTAACCGAGTGCCCTGGTTCAGCTAATTACCCCTACTGAGTGCCATCCCTTGTCAACCATTCTGCCAACAACAACTTCCCTGTAACAGATATGGTAGCCAGCTGGTTCGAGATAGCCCAGGTTCTGCGGAACCATCTCAGCCCACCACTGTTGTGACCTCTTCCTGCTTTCCTCCGCCAATCTGCTCTGATCTCATATCTGAGAAGTGTTTTGAACAGACTAAAGGCGTGAGCATCCGTAATTGTCTTCCCATGAAAACGCAGGTCGTTCCTGTCAGGCCAGATTACCCACATCATTACTGCCCGCGCTACTTGTGCCACGTAACCCCACCCTTTGTCCTCAGGGGTGTTATCTGGCAACACTCCCAACAGTACCCATCTCTCCCCTGTCAGGTCCGGTCTGTCTACCAACTCAGCCCACTTCTGGAACCACCATTCCCACCATCTGGTTGATTTGGGACAAGCCCACCAGAGGTGATGCATTGTCTCAAAAATCCAATTGCACCTTTCGCATACTTCCTTAACTGACATTCCCTTTTGTCTCAACCACCTGGCTACTGGAACCGCCCGATGAGACTGTAACCAGAGAAGGGACGCCCTCTTCTGAGACGGAATCTGGGGCAGCTGAGTCCAGAGCTTCTTCAGTTCCTTCTCAGAGGGGGGGGTAATGTGTGGTAAAGTTTCTTCCCACCGGTCACACGCCGCCTGCACTGCTTTCTTTCCTTCCTTGTCCTTCCTTTTCCTAACTGCTTTAGACATATTTGTTAAATCCCAAGTCGCACCTTGACCGTGCTTCCACCCCCAGGCTGTCTGGTCGATTCTCAGGCTCTCTGTTGAAGTCCCCCCGGCTACCAGTTCGTACTGAACTTGAGCAGGAGCACTCATCCTCTTCCGGCTCGTGACCTTACATTCTTTTCACCCTGACACACCCAGCCTACTCAGTGTCTCGCCCTGAATCAGGGTCGGCAGACCTTTATGTTCTCTTTTGAACTTGCAGAGGTTACACTTTCCTGGGATCTCTTCGTCCCAATTCTCAAGCTTGTAGAAACAGTCTACCTCATCTGAGCTCTGAAAGCACGTACCCTCTCTGGGGATCTCTTCTGCAGTCAGGATTGCCTTCCAATGTGAAGGGACAGCCTTGATCAAAAGGCCTAATCTCTCTGGCTGGTGCTGCAACCCTCCCAATTTCTCTTTCAACTTTGTCAAGATCCACTGTCCTTGAACATCGTCCCAGAGATCCCCAACTTTGGACACTCCCTTCCTGATCCATTTCATTCCGTAAGACCCAGATTTGGTGTTGGCAGAAAACATGTCACCGTCCTGAGTTCTAATCCCCGGGTTCTCGAACAGATGTTGACGCAGGACCTCCGCTTTAGTCACAGGGTCAGCTTGGGCATCTGGGGCGCACTTCTGCCATCCAGCCAAAATCTCTCTCCAAAACTGTGATTTCAGCCGCTTGTTCAAGAAGGACTGAATCATCACAGCGACCCAGACGTCTGAGGAGCGGTGTAGGCCCCATTGTTCGCAGAGTATTTCTTCTGCCAAGAAGAGCCAGTCCGATTCTTGGTCCGAGGAGGCTACCTTGACCACCCAGTTCGCCAACAATAGTAAGTTTTGCGCTTCGGGATCGACAAGTGCCAGACCTCCTCCGCCTTGGGAAGGCCCCTGAATCTGGAACTCTGATTGGAACAACGATGAGGGGGGCGCGTCGGTTGGCACAGGATTAGCGCTCTAAGTTGCGCCTTCGGCCGGTCTGGCTGAACCGGCCTCGCGAGGTACCACCGCCATGATGCATCCTCGCGTGGAGAATGTCGTCTCGCTCGGTAGTTTCCGAGCAAAGTTCCCGTAGGTGAGGGAGATTGCCATTCCAGGTCGGCCCTGGTGTTTACAGACTTTGTTGCGTGGGTTATGTCTGTTACGTTGGGCGTACGCCGTCAGGCGGCCGCCTTACAGATGTGTCACAAGTTTCATATGTGAAGAAGCTACGAGATTCGCAGGTTAAGGAAGCAACTACTTGTAGGACCACAATCAACTTAGACGTTCGAGATGGCAGCGACAGGGGCTAGCGCAGGACCGAGCGGGCGAAGGGCAGAAGATAGATCTCCGCGAACGGGGTCAGAAGTGCCAGAGTCAGAAGACCAGCGAATGAAGAATCTCATAGCTAAGTGCTATGAGGAAGGCATATTTACGACGGAGCTGAGACAGGGCAAATTTATCACCGAAAATGGAGAACGTGTTTTCGTGGTGGATGGAAGAATAGGGGAGTTGACTACGAACTGGCTTAAAGAACGGACAATTACAGTAATCTTCCAGGGGGAGGCGAGTTCACTTCCAGCCAAGATAAGAGAGGACCTGATCCGCGCTTACGAGAATGGTTGGACGAGATCAAGAACCTTCTCAAGACAAGTTAAGCGAGGGAGAGTCCACTCGGAAGGCCCTAATGTTATGTCGTATGTCGCTATGCAGCGAGAACTGGCAGAGTGGATGATTCGTAAGGCGGAAGATAAAGTGGTGATCAGGGGTGTCGAGTATAAGATGGTCTTCAAAGCCTGGATGACGAGACAAGAATTAGAGGATAGGAGAAGAGTGGAAGAATCCTCTAAATTTTGGGTGATGGCTCTGCGTGTCCCTCTACGCACAATGCTACCAGTAGCAGATATGGTGCAACAGGCTATGGGGAGAATGACAAACGTGATCCCTCCCCAACCAGATGCGACCAGACCGAAGTTGATGAACCGRAAATTTGAATTGGTTCCGGAAGCAAAAAGGGACTTTGTTCCCCTCCTACCTCTGCGTTTGGAGGATGGAGAGACGATTAATATCGACTTCGTCTGTAAGCACACAACATGGTGCGATCGCTGTCGCTGGTGGTTTCACACAGCAACGGATGGCTGTCCAAAGCTTATGCAGCAAGAGGATGACCTGGGAGGGAGAGGAGACTCGTCAGGTAACAATTTTGCAAGACAGAGACAAGAGTTAAGTGAGGCAGTACAAGGAAGTATCCGGAATGCGGCACRTGACCTGCCATTGGTAATACCGGTGGAGACGGTGGCGGAATCATCGTTAAGGGGAGGCAGAAGAATGGGAGCTCGAGGTAACTCGTCGGCCACTTCAGCGGCAGCAGCGGCAACACAGCCAATGTTCAGGAATCATTCGTCATCTGCGGTCCCTTCTCAAGGGTTGCTCGTCCCAGGAGCTGCCAATCCGCCGTTTCATCAAACACCCGCCCYGAACTGGGGAGCGCTGGGCACCGTGCAATTAGGACCCCCACTTCAGCCTTGGACTCACATGGGTCCCTATTCGGGTGGAGATTTAGAAGGGGCACATACCCCTGGAGGGCATTGCCCCATACCTGGTTATGGGAATTACCCGTGGCACCCGTCTGTGCTCGAAGCAGCAAGTATTTTAGCCCGAACGATGGGGCACCATCAGATGGGAGGGAACGAGCTGTCTACAGGCTTGTTATCCGGAGTACCGGCAGYMGAAGATTGGACTGCACTTCCAGGAGGCGGGCAGACAATGGTACCGAGTGGAGGTACTGGTAACAGCGAGCAACAACCTCGAGAGCGGAGAGGGGACGAAAACAGGCAAATCGACAAATCAGTCCTTCGGCGACAAGAGAACGTGGAATCAAGCGAGTCGGAGGAAGAGTCAGACGCAGAGAATAGAGACGGAACTGAAGACGAAGGCAACTCGCCGAGGGACATCCATTTGGGTGCCATAACCAGGGTGAGAGAAGATGTTGATATGGAGACGAACTATCTCCTTCCGCTGGTATGTATTCTGCAGGGGGGTGAAATCTTCGTGATTGGCTTTAGATCCGCAGATAACAGATTGAGTCTCCCCGTTAGTAGTATTTCTGAGCTTCCCTCCTGCTCCTTAATAGTGGATAGGGTTTCATGCCTATTTGCTCAACGTTTCATGTTCCGGATTTYCCCGGAGGATTCCCTTACGAGGATCAAGGTTGAACTCCCCCAAGGAGGGAGCGTCAGATACTCGATTGCTTTGATTGACGTTCGTCTCGAACCAGAACAATGGCWGGGGTTGGGCAACGTGGGATTATTTGCAATCCCACTACGTATTCTTCTGGCGGATCCGRTGAGGGAGTTGGAGCAAGTGGGTGTAGATCCTAATCAGTCGGCCTCCTTTCTGCTCAGATTGAATGATGCTTTACAGCGTAGAAGGAATTTGACCTCAACCTATTTCGCAGAGGTTTTGAGTAGTAGATGGCTTGATGCGCAATTTATCCAAGGACAGATCCAATCATTCGGTGTCCACCTGCAAGTCTCAAATGGGTAATGTCCAGGGGCTAGGGGATACAGGAGGCAAGCACAAGGGTAGGAGGCTAAAAACCTGGATGCATGAGAAAAGGATTGATGTAATGTTTATTCAAGACAAAATTATCAGAGGAGAAACTGTCCAGGATGGCAGATCGGTGGAGAGGACCGCAGTTGTGGTCGCGAGCGCGTGGTAGTAAAGGTGGGGTGGCAATTCTCATCAATGAGAATTTGGAGGCCTCATTAATAGACCGTGACAATGATCTGTGGGGAAGATGGTGTTGGGTCAAATTGGGGATAGGCGCAGAGGAGTGGGTCCTAGCCACAGTGTATGCTCCCAATGACCCCCTCGAAAGAATTGAATTTATTGAACTGCTTTCTAGGAAGCTTCCTAGAAATGATCATCTTGTCGTTGGGGGGGATTGGAATATGGTTTATGATCCCTCCATCGATCCAGAGAAGATTGATAAAGGGAGAAGAGACAGACGAACGATGTTACAGTGGATTGAACGTTGGGCGCTCCACGACTCCTATAGAGAAATCCACCCGACCCTTCCAGGATATACCTGGTTCGGTAACTCTGCGCAATTGGCATGGGTCAAGAGGCGATTGGATTTTTTCTTGACCTTAGCGGGCTTGGCCAGCGATGTCTTGGAGGCGGAGGTGCACAACGCTTCATTTTCGGACCATAAACCGGTCTCAATGGTAATCAGGACCAGCGAACTTGGTGAGAGAGGCTTAGGTTGCTTCCAGTTAAACACAACCCTGTTGGAAGACGAGGGTATCATCGAGTGGGTCGAAGCCTTCTGGAAGGACTGGGAAGAAGCAAAAAGGTCCTTCGACGCTCAAGCTGAGTGGGTAGACACGGGACTCAGAATCATCTCTAGCAAGTTGGAGGCCTTTTCCAGGATTGCAGGATACTTGAGGAACCAGGAGGACAGGTGTTGTGCTCGCAAAGTACATGAAGCGGAGGAAAGAATGGGAGAACATCCTATTTCTGAGTATGTCTGGGCAGAAGAAAGACAGGTGCGGTTAAAGGACTGGGAAAGATTACAGGTGGAGAAACACGATCGGTGGGAACAAATTCTCAGTGAAAAAAAGATCGTGTGTGGGGACAAAATGACAGAGGAGAGTTTTCAGCTACTCCTACCGAAGAGGAAAGCGGTACAGATGCGGCAATTAAAACACCCTCACCTGTTGGCACGGCCCGTAGCATCAAACAACTCGGAGATGTGTTCTTACGAGGCGGCCTACTTCTCTGAGATACTGACCACGAAAGATCCCTATGAAGATTTGGACACTGATCTAGCGGCCGACTCAGACCTGTGGGCAAGGATGGAAGTAAGCCTGCCTGTTGAAGGCAAGGAAGAGCTGGACAAGCCGTTTACAACGGAGGAACTTACCAAGACGCTCAAATCTACTGCCGAGGGGAAAGCGCCACGGGACGACGACCTTCCAAGATAATTTTTTGAAGCATGTTGGGATACGCTGGTGGGGGATTTAGTGGGAATGTTTAACGCCATGGCGGAAGGAGGAAGACTGGGAAACTCAATGGCAAGAGGGGTGATTAACCTGCTCTACAAGAAAGGCGACAGAGATGAAATACGAAATTGGAGACCGATATCGTTGTTGAACTTCTCCTATAAATTATTAGCTAAGACCTTAGCCAACCGGCTGGCCCCGTTCCTACCCGAGTTGGCGGGACTGGACCAGGGTGCCTTTGTTAGAGGACGATCCATCTTCGAGAACCTAGCAACAGCGATAGAAGCAATGAAAGTAATAGAGGAGCAGAAGTTAGATGTGGCAGTACTTATGCTAGACCTAGAAAAAGCATATGATAGGGTCAACTGGTCATTCCTGCTGACGACACTGAGGGCGATGCAGTTCGGTGAAAAATTTTGCAGCATGGTTAAAGCTCTCTACTTCTATGCAACAACTGTTGTGCGGGTGAATGGACACTATTTTGAAGAGATGACGATCACTAGATCGCTCAGACAGGGTTGTCCGCTTGCACCATTGCTATTCGTCTTGCAGATGGAGATGCTTTTAAGTGATATCAGAAGGCACCCTCTTCTAGAAGGTCTGAAGCTACGGTCAGGGAAGGAGTGTAGAGTGAAAGCTTTGGCAGATGATCTCCTAGCCTTCTCAGTCAACAACAAGGTCTCCGTAGAAGCCCTAAAGAAGTGTCTGTCCCGCTATGCAGAGTTGTCGGAGGCAGCAGTAAATTGGAACAAGTCCATTTTTTTTCTCCCGAAGTCATTCAAGCTGCAGGCGGAGTATGGAATGAGAAGGGTACCAGCTGGGAAAGCGGAGCAATACCTAAGGGTCCAGTTGGCACTAGAGGACTGCTCAACTTCTCAGAGCGGGATTCTGTTGGAAAAGGTGACAGGGAGAATTAGGAAATGGGGGAAAGTGAAACGTCTGTCACTAGCGGGAAGAGTCCTAGCGGTGACAGTTTCTGCCTTCTCCATCCTATGGTATGTGGCACGGATGAGGAAACTGGAGAAGGGGTTGTTGAATCCAGTCAAGGCGGCAGCGCGAAGATTCATTTGGAAACCCGGTTCTGACACCAACAAAGGGTATATCAACAAAGTGTAGTGCCCTAATTTCGCCGACTACATCATTCCTTTATTCCTTTATTCATTTATTTATTTATTTATTTTTTGGGAGAATTTGCGAAATGCCCCCGAAATTTTCGTTAATTGGCGATTTGCCCTCGGACGGCCTATTTTTTCTGAATTGCCCCTCTGACAACGACTCAAATTTCCAGAAAACCCCCGGTGTCACTTGGGCCTCGAATATGTTCAATATGCCCCTACCGGTACCGCTGCCAACTTTTCAATATGCCCCTACCTGTTGGCCGTTGAGGACCTGCACTAGAATTTGCTATATGCCCCTACTGGTACCATGCATCTTTCCTGTATGCCCCCACGACCGTTGTTGGCGGTCGCGGCCGTTCCCCTGGCCCTGGGATGGGAGCTACCGGGGTATATCAGAAATTTGCCCATGTTGGCATCTTTCTGCTGCGCCCTCCATCGGCCTCCATCGTTTTGCATGGGCTTGGGCCTATCCTATGCCTCTTTCTCTCTCTCTCTCTCTCTCTCTCTCTCTCTCTCTC